AGGGGGGATGGCCACGCCACAATCCCTTCTCCTCCATTCTCCTCTCGGGATTGTGGGCAAGCACGCACATGTGCCTGGCGTGAGTTTTAAGCCACCAGGTCCAGGACTCAAACCACGGTCGACTACATGGGAGTCCAGCCACATAGCCATTACGCTAACTGCTGGTTTCCTCATTCAGTGTTCTTGATTCAAAATATTCAGTAAGGACTGTTCAAAGTTGGGACCAGCAGCAGATGGCATAATGGTTATGTCACTGGACTCCTGCATGGTCAACTGCGGTTTGAGTCCGAACCCGGAGGCTTGAAACTCATGCCGGGCATGTGTGCCTGTGTGCCCAAAATCCCAAGAAGAGAGTGGAGAAGAGACTGTGGCATGGCCGTCTCTCCAGGGGGTTGATTTCTCATTGTATGTCTCTCTGTCTCTCTGGTAAGTGTATGCACCCTATAGCAAAAATCTCTCCCTAAATAAATACATAAAGGTCTGTTCAAAGTCAAAACAGAATTGTGGCAATAGCACAGTGTTTTGTTTTTAATGTCTATACAAATAATTCTTTAAAAATAATTATTTAATTTTATTCATTATTATTATTTTAATCTGATTAGAGAGAGACACACAGAGAGAGGAAGGGAGAGATGGAAAGCAAAAAAGCAAGCCACCAGGTCCAGGACTCAAACCACAGATGACCATGTGGGAATCCAGTGCCTCAACCACCACATCACCTGCCGCCCCCTAAAATAAATAATTCTTAAAAAAAAAGAAAGAATATAATTTTGAATAAACTATAGTAAAATGAAAGTGGCATAATTTTAGGTATTTCTTTTTAAATCACCTCTTTATAACTTAAAAATTATTATTAATAATTTAAAAATGTGTCATAGAGCATGCATGCTCACCAGTGAGAGAGAGAGAAGGTGAAAAAAATAAGCCACCAGGTCCAGGATTCAAACTGCAGTCAGTCATGTGGGAGTCCAGTGCCTTAGACACCACGCCACCTGCTGGTTCTCTTTATAACTTTTTGCTGTCATAAAATTCGTGAGGGAGAAACAAATATTGCAAGTACACTGCAGAACATTTTGCCTCATGTCCTTGTCCTTGCCTCATCCTCCTCTTCTTTTTTCTTTTTTTAAAATAAGTTTTATTTTATTCTTTATTCATGATAGAGAGCACATATGTGTGCATGTGAACAAAAAAGAGAGGGAGAGGGAGAGGGAGAGGTGTCTTCAACAAGTTCTTGCCATGCCACAATCCTCTTCCCCCAGCCCTCCAGCTCATCAGAATCCTGGGAAGGTTCATGAGCACCCAACGTGTTTCAGGTTGACCCAACAGGGGAATTCAAACCAGGGGTTGGCTATGCAGCTTCCAGCACCACAGTCCAGCCCGCCACCACTGTGCCAGGCTGGGTCCTCCTCCTCCTCTTCATCCATTTGGGCATACTATGTGTGAGGTGTAGCACAATGCCCTGGGAGCACAGGGGTGAGGGTACCACAACGGTCCAGAGTCTAGACATTTATAGAGATGCATCACCTGTACCAGCTTTTTTTTTTTTTCAGAGAGAGATTTTTTTTAGTATAGGGCATGTGTGCTCGCCAGAAAGACAGAAAGCAAGAAATCACCCCCAAGGGGGTACGGCATGCTGCGATCCCTTTTCCTCCTTTCTCCTCTCTGGATCTGGGCACACATGCATACATGCCTGGCATGAATTTCAAACCTCCGGGCCCAGGACTCAAACCACAATCATCCATGTGGGAGTCCAGCGATGTAATATTATGCCATTTGCTAGTCCCAACCCAGAGTGTTTTTCAAGTTACCTGGTCCTGGATTTGAACTGTGAGGTCAGCCATGTGGGATCCAGCTGCCTTAACTTCTGCGCCACCTGCTGGCCCATAGAATTAAACCCTCTTCTGAGACATAAACATATTACTTTTACACTCAGATATTGGGTCTCCATAGTTCTGCCAGAGGTGTAATATGACTAATTACTGCTCCAATTTTCCACAAGAGAAAGGCATAGTTCCAAGATTCCAAGCTACCAGGCATCGGTGCCACGAAAAACAGGACACT